CCATTACCCTGGCCGTTGATCAGCAATGATGTTCCCGCTAAGAAACGTCTTGAGGGCCCTTGGGCCTTACAAGTCATGTGGTTCTAAGGCCTTCTACCCTCTTCATCTGTGGCCATCTGTGGCGTTTGGCCAATGGTCCTAGTGTACGTCACCGATGGTAAGGTCAATCTCATACCCAGCGCACTGTGGGATCATTCCCATGTGTTGCCTTGCTCTTGCGTATCGCTCTGGGAACAAGTCTAGTGGATTGTTCGATTGTATAGAAGGGGGTAGAGCAAGAAAGACCTAGAGCGCCGCGACAACCCGGAACTTGCTAGGCCTCGAGTTCCCGTTTGCGGCTTGGATTACGCTCTACGCACAATTAATCGATTACGCTTTACGGTTAATTCCCGATAGCTACAACGCATTACGTAGAATTAAAACGGCGAATTACGCTCTACGCCAAATGCGCCAATTACGCTCTACGTTGAATTAGAGGGTCCGTCTACGCTCTACGTAGAATTAAAACGGCCGATTACGCTCTACGGAAAAGGGCTTGGGGGCCCCCATATAGTACATTGCTGTACTGAAATGTCATTAGAAGTTAAAATACCAGTAAATGGATGAAACACTAAGTCTTGATCTTTATAGAAAAGTTAATTAGTACCTTTGGTGGTTAGAAAAAGATGCCTTGCCATACATAATTATGAAATTTTGAGCAGAAATATTATCATTTCTTGACTGATCAAGGATGTAACCAAGTCATATCATATGACATTTCAGGTTGAGTGGTGCAGTTATCTCTTCTGAGGACAGTCTCTCTACCAAGGGCAAAGTCAAGTTAGATCATATACTAGTAGCTTCTAATGGTAAATTTGAGAACAGAACATCAGCTATGTTGGAGAGGTTACCTGATTCAGATGCACAAAAATCCAATAAGTCAAACATCAATGAAAAAAGGGCAAAATCTAGTCATAAAACTTCTTTAAAAAGATCATCAGAAAAAGTTGCTGAAAAAGTTGACTCATGGAGAAAATCAATCATTGCAAAAAGACAGTAACACTAGAAAACAACACTATTGACGGCACTAGGGGAATAAATGACACGATATCCAGAGGTATTAAAAAAGCAAATACAGAGAAGAAACAGAAACATGAAAAGCAAAAACGAAAGTCTTCATCTCAACGAAAGAAGAGAACTGACATGAGGGAAGAGGACAAAAAGAGGAGCAAACAGGGGAAGGAACTGAACAGCCTTTTTGCAGACGTTGATTCCAATTGGAAATTCAACCCTAAGTCATTAGCTGACTTCCGGTGAGTCCTGAAAAGTCTGTGGTTAAAAGTGTGAAACTGATAATAAGCTTAGCAAGTATTTTTCATACACAACATTTATCATATGAATCATCATTTAATAGAATGATAAAAAATTGATAACAGTAGTGACATCATGGATATTACAAAAATTTTAATCATTATGAGTTAGATAGTTGAATCTGTAACCCTACTGTTATTGGTTATCCAAAGGAAGCAGCTGGCTATCTTGCACACTGCGGCGAACTTCACCTTGACGAAACAGAACGCGCCGCTCAACTCATGGATCACGTACGCCACCTTGCGAGGCACACGTGAAGTGACGACAGAACTACACCGCAAATTACCTGAGGTATGCAAGAAGCAAGAAGGCGCCCTCCACGTCGTTAAAACTGCAGATATCTTGAAAACTAGGGTGTCGAGAGAATGACTATACAGATAAACACTGTGCAAGTTGTAGTTTTAATCCAGAATTTAAAACATAAGACTTTTCAGATATCGAAGTAAAGCCTTGCCCCCCTCCCCACCAAATCTTGAGTACCGCTATAGTGAACATGTCATGTCTGATCTAGTACAAGCAAGCACAAACCTTTGTTACTAAAGGTACAACATGCAAAACGTGCAGTTCATGTGTTTAGTGAACAAATATGAAGACCGTACCTTCCCATTTGTCCTGCCATATCGGTAGAAGCCGCCAGAGTTCCAGACGGGACGGTTCAGGAACTGCAGTGTTGTCGGAAGTAGCGGCATCCTGACCGGAAGTGGGTGTGGAACTCAGATAGACTCCACGGAGTTTGTAATCAGGTAAACATAAATAACGTTAACAAAACAATAAGAGTTAAAATGATTTGATAAATGTGGGACAAAAAAGTGTCTGTAAATTTCTTCTTTTGCCTTGGTGCCTTTTCAACCCATGCTGATTAGATTATAATCTCCAAGCAGATGTTGCGGTGGCAACAAAAGACAGCTGTATCCATTGGGCAGACTGTAACCATTTGCCACCTATAATTTGGGTGGCAAATGGATACAGTCTGGCCAATTTGATACTATCTTTTGCGGCCACCTAAACATCTGCTTGGAGATTGATTTGATTATATGGCTGGCATTTTAAAACTGATGCGAGCGTGCGAAAAAAAAGTGGGCAAAAAAGTTACATTCCTTATGAAATCTAAGTAGTCAGGAGGATTGAATAAATGCTACTAGCCTTACCTTTGCATTTCATTTGCCAGCCACCGTATTTGCTAAAAATACTTCTTCAACCTGACATTATGTTTCTTCGAGTAGGAGTTAATAGACTGTAATGCTATTCTTGGCTATCTATCCCAGGTTTAACCTCCCACCCTTGGAGGAGGGCTATATCCCGGATGTTGGGCGTAAGGTGGATCTGGTGACCTGTAACCGTTACCGACTGAAGACGCAGTAAGTTCGCATGTTTCACACATCGCGTTCATGAATACCGCAGAGAGATATACTTCTGGTGCTGGCTTAACCCCAGTCCTATAGTTTAGCATTGCAGATGAGATGCGGGTGCCAACTGTGTTGGCCTCTTCTGTGTAAGGCCATGTTGATTGGATTATATGGATGACATCCGCGCGCGCGCATGAATTTTCAGCCGTTTCTAAAAAAATTCAACCATACTGTAAATCGTACAAAAAAGTTCCAGAATGAGCAAAGATGTACCGTAAGTTGCAAAAAATTAAAAACCATACCAATGTCGTAGAATGCCAAAATCAAACGAAAAAAGACGAAAATTTAAAGAAATGAATTTGAATAGTAGATTATTCGCCAAACCATATTCTGCCTCATTTGTTCAACCGTCATGACCACGTAGATTTCATAATTTTTTTGTGCACAACTTTTTTTATTCGCACGCACGCATCAGTTTTGGGGTTCCCAGAGTAGAGGATGTCATCCATACAATCAAATCAACATGGCCTAACGCCAACTCGAAGTTCCGCCGGGTACTCTGAGAGTAAGACCGCCGCAAGAATAGGGGGAATCTTAAGGTATCTACTAACTCAGCACCGGTAATCCCCGACGTTGCACCATCCAGGTGTTCCAGACTTTCGTGAGAATTCGAAGGCCCTGATGTTTCTAATTCTGAAATGTGGG